CATTTTTTTGAAGGAACCAAACTGCACTATTTTTATTTTTATTTTTTCAACATTGCTGTGGACTCAAATGAAACAGTGGTCAAATAAATATCCTTTAATAAAGAAAAAAGGAATCATTTTTAAGCACCAAAACTGTGAGTATGATGTTACATCGCATGTACAAGAAGGTGAGTTCAGTACTTTGTGTACAGGTTGAAACTTCTGAGTCATGATACTAAAAACATGAAATACACAGCAATAAACTCGCATGGCAGGGAAACTGCACTAAAGAAAAAGAGAGCAAAAGGCAGACAGTTACAGTTTTTTTAGTTTTTAGGTATTGCTGGAAATGTTTGCTTAGTTTACCTTTTTTATTTTAGGAGATACTTGTTGCCTAATACTTTATAGCCTTGAGCATTTTTAGGTATAGCAAATCTGCAGAGTTGTTTACAATAAAATACGCATTTAATATGTCGTCTTTGAATACAACAGTGTTAAAGGACTTCCTTACTGCCAAGCACTAGTGTTCGATTCTACCAGTAATATTGCACAAAGCTAGTGAATGGCAAACTGGTTTTGATTATTTCTCATTTATTCAACAGATTTTAAAAAAAGAAGTTAACGTCATTAACCTTTACTGATGTCATTCATGCGAGACAATCTGCAGTCATCTGAATTCCTTTAATCTCATGATGATGTATCTGTAAATACATAAGACTAAATCCAACACATACAGCAAGCACAGTAACACACTGGAAGATGTTGAGTGAGTGTCCCTGATCCCCAACACCTGTTCCGCAATTCAGAAATCAAAAGTGCTCCTGAAAGGATCTGGAAGTCAAAGCCACCTAAGGCAGAACAGTACGGAACAGGTAACAAGTCTCTGCAGTGACAACGCTGCAGAGTTAGGGCTGCACTCACCAAAAGGCAATCGTCCCTCTGACTCTTTCCAAATGCTGGTTAACAGCTTCAGATACTGGCTTTAAATAATACTCTACAGTCATCTAGAATTCAGCAGAGTAAAATTCATTGCCTGGTCATTTCCATGTTAGAGGTACATCAGGGTATTCACATTTGAATGGAAAGACCTTTTCTGTCAAATGCTGAAGCTTGGGGCCACAGAAGGTGGACCTCCATCACAATAAAGTACATAAATGTCACAGTCAGAGCTGGGTTTGGGTTAACAGTTAAACTGAATGGGAAGTGCAAAGAAACGTATATACAACAGCCCCCCCCCAGAAATACACCGGCATGCCCACCCACCCTCAGCCCTGCTAAAAATCCTAATTTTAAGTACATGTATTAGGCAGAATTAAATATAAACTCATTTTATAGGAAAATTTTAAATTACAGTATATTTATAGGTTAAAAAGAGCCACTGCTGGGCTTCTTACAGCACTGGCAGCAGTGTGTCAATGTGCTTACTACACTGAAGAGCAATTTGCAGTCAAGTTTGGAACAACCTCCTGTCTGTCAGCCCCGCAGCACTGAAATCACAGTGCGCTCTCCCAGTAAGGTGCTCCGTTTGCTCCTTAGCAATAAGCTTCACTTGTTCTTAATGTTAATTCTGTAGTGCTAAACATAACAGTATACTGTCCATGCTTATGGAATCATTACCAGAAATATACACAGGTAAGTTAATTACATAAGCATTACAATGAAAATAAAATCTGATTACACATGTGAACAAAGTTGATTTACAAATTACACCCTTGAAATTCAGTGCAACAAACAAGGGAGGGGAACATTGACCAATGACAGTTTCTGCTTCCTCCTCTCAGTAAGTTGCATTTCAACAACACATCTGTCATTACTTAATATTAGACATTACAGAATATAGTGCTTATATATCAAAATGATTCTTTACAAATAACATAGTGAAGTATGTTGAGTTCTATCCCCAATGCAGCCACAAAAAAACCACAATATATAATAATACTAAGTTATTTTACAGATGCCTGGTTTACGACGCAGACTGTCAGATATTTTAGAAAACCTTAAAAATGATGCTTAAGGAAAATAACTGTTACGTGAAAAGAAAGTGAACGTGCCAAGAATATTGGTCATTTTTAAAGGATCTGGAACATCTGTGAATGAGAGGATGAAATTCATGTTGATGCACATACAGTTTCTGATCAAAGCCTTTCTATTTGTCTGATGTTTTGGTTACCTACAAGTTTCGTTTTTTATTTCTTGTTCACACTCATAGATGTTTCAGTCCTCAGATAAGCATTTGCACAATAAACATACCTCCAACTCCTTACCACGATGGATCAGTCATACCATAAAAAACAGTTTTAACCAGAACTACAAAAGCAAGTTCCTAAAGATGGAAAAAGCACAAGAGCTGACAGACTGCTTAAGATAAACAACAAGCAACAGATGGATGCAACCACCACAGTGAAGTCCAGCCAGAAAGGAAAAATATCAGTGATACATAGAAAGGCCTTTTTCTTGCATACGCCTAAATGATTTTCCTGTAGTGATGCTTGCTATGGTTTCTCAAGGACCAACACATTCATTAGAGCTTTTATCAGCTATGGAGGAGCCAAATCTGCAGGATTGTCAGAAGTTCTGTAAGGTTCTTGTGGCCACGCTCTCCCCATTTGCTGCTCCCATCCCCACTGCAAACTATCATGTTGCAGAGAAGGATGGGAAGATTGATGCATTAGTCTGCACACTACATAGACACAATTTCTGTATCACAGTGGGGATGTGAAATAGCGACATCTAGTGTCTTGTTTAAGATTAAAACCTAGGATATGGTGGTTTTTTGTTTTTTTTGGTTTTTTTTTTTTGGTTTTTTTTTTTTTTTTTTTTTTTTTTTTTTAGCAGTATGTGGAGGAAAATACCATTTTCATTCCATCTGGAAGATGGCAGTTCTGAACTGATATAAGCTGCTATGCTCAGCACAACAACTACTCTTTGTGTGCACATAAAACACTTGCTCCCATGAGATATCCATTTCTATAAACTAAGCTATTACAGGAGATCTAAGATTTCAACTAAATATAAACCAGATTAAGGACAGTAATTTTTCTCAATCATGCACACATTCAAGGCAAAGTTGACAGACCACATGGCAAATAAATCTGAAAGCTGCAGTAAAGCATTGAGCTATCTATATTTATCACAACACAACCATAAACTGTAGACACAAACACTGTGCAAAGGGACCATTGCGCCTATATTTTAGAATTATGGTATGTTCTCTTGACCTCAAATTTTGCTAGAGTCCCATATGCATACTGTAAGGGATGAAAACGTAGGCTGGAAAATAGGAAAAACTGGCATAGTTGCTCAATCACCACTATTTATACAGCACTAAGATTCAGACAAACTGTATAATCTGAATTACCATTCTACAACAAATTCTGCTTTATGCGGTGGCCAAAAATTTATTTAACTCAGTTTCAAAGTGTGGTGTGACTGGAAGTGATGACAAACGCAGAGCAAAAATACACCACTTACAGTACAGGCAACGTCCAATGGTTATGATAAACTCTGAAATCACCGTTATTGCTGCATGAGCATGTTTGCTTACAACCACATCATTAACTGAGTTCAGAAAAGCAGTTTAAGAAAAAATATGCCTAGTAGCTTTTGGTTCTTGGAAAGTCAGTATCAAGTCTGCCATAGAACTGATCTCAGGAGAAAAGCATATACACCTGACAACTAATACATACAGCAAAAATCAATACAGCTCTGAAATAACGCTACTCATGGGTGCTTTAAGAATGAGCGTTCACTTACCATAAATAAGGCAACAAGGTTAAGAAAATGCCTTGTCAATAGCAAGGGTACTTGGACATCCTTCTGAGATGTCCAATCGAACTTTAATTTCAGGACAGCCAAAACAGAACAGCTGAATGGTCTGACCTCTCAGGTTCCTGCACATAACCTGTTACTAAGGAGAGCGCTTCTGTTCCTAATTACAAAAGTAAATAGCAAGACATGCAACCTCCTGTCAGGAACGCTGACGCAGCACGTGTTCTGTTGTATGACAGCAGCAAAGCCTAACTCCACTCTAAAAAAACACTATCCCCATAATAGTTTTTCACAAGAGGAATGGTGAATGGAACATACTACACAAGGACACAGACCGCGTACTTCTCAACGCAGAGTATGTCACATCAATAAACATAAAATGCTGGTGAGAATTTAGCTTTCTTAACATTTTAACAGACTGAATGTAATATCACATGGATTGCGATATTACACTCTGGATGTTCCAAGACTCTCTCTCCTGACACCTCTTACCCTTAGTGATACATGTTCTCAGTGCAGCTGTCTGCAGCCATCAGCCACAAAGCTTAGGATTAATTCTAAGCATTCACCGCAGAGGAAGTTGTAACTTTTTTCCTTTTAAAACAAAATGTCATGAACAAAAGGAAATCATCTTTTTTTTTTTTCAGCCAGCAGGCCTTTGGGTATAAAATACAAATGCTTCTGCAGCCACTGAAAAGAATAACAACAAAAAAGCAAAAGAAGTATATTTTCAAAACTGAAGTGTCAAGTACACTTAAGTGCTTTGATCTTTTTAAAAGAAGGCTGCCTACAGTATTCAAACAAAGCCTTTAAAGCCAAACAGAAAAATAATTGTAAGTATGAAATTACAAAATATTGCTTCTTACAACAAATGATAAAGTATACTTGGTTTAACACAGCTGAATATTATTTTAAAAAATCATGAAAATGTCTATGTTAGAAAAGTTTAAGATTACAAATGACCTTCTAAAAAGGCGCTGCCAGTATGTCTTGCTATAAATGCACCTTGCTGGAAACACATTCTTAAATACGTACTGAAGTCAGCTCCTATTTCTCATTATGCTGTAGTCACTTGCTGCTTTTCATACTGACATACACTTCTTCAAACTAAGAAGAAAAAAGTAAAAGTTGCACATTACTGAATTTCAGCTACTGCGGTGCAACAAGGAATTCTGCTCTTTCTGTAATATCACTGCTAGCTTTCCTGCAAGGACCTACTTAACTGGTTTTCAAGCAGATGATATATTCAGTGCTGTGAAGGGTAGATTTTATACCTGTTTTGTTGTTTCAGCCAGATCACTAGTTCCTTTTACAGCAAGTATTCTCCAGCTCAAAATGCTCTCTCCACTTAACTGGCCACACACTACTAACACAAATATGAAAAGTGCTGAAGAGTCAGGCATTCTTGATTATATAAAATGCATGTCAAAACAACTTAGCTTTCTACTCAAACCAAAATTCTTAGAACAATTAATGAAAAAAGTGACCTGAAAAATCTACATTTCAAGCCATTTTTTTTCCAGATGCTGAATCATTTGCCCAAAGAAAGACTATTTCTTTGTGAAAGAAAGCCTCCTGTGGAACTGATGGTCAAAACTGCTGGCTCTGAATTTTCAAAATGAAGAGGAATAGTGGTCTTCAACTGGGGTTTCTTTTCTCACTTCAGGGGCTGTATATCACCTGTTTGGGAAAAAAAAAAAGGAACATCTGAAAAGCTAAAGAGCTTTACAAGTCCTCTTTTATCAACATATTAGGCAAGTCCAACATGCAAATCTGTGTCTAGAAAAAGCTCCGATTCTCTGCTTCCAGTGCAAGACTGTTCCCAAGCTAATGACACCTTTACACACAGTATGAGCAAGTCTCCTTTTCCTTCTGGTATTTTTGCATTGAACACTGATCTGAGCTTGGAGAAGCCCTGGATTAAAAGGCTGTAGAGAACAGAAGATGACTTCTTTATCCAGTTACTCTGTCCATCACTCCCAGAAACTCACACTTGGCAGCTGCTTACAGTACTCTGAATGTACTATTGCCATCTTTGTGTACCATAAAAGATTGGGATACCTCTGATAAACAAAAATCTTCTTCTGTTTTTTACCCACACAGAATCCATTGCATCTTTATGCTGCTTGTTCAGCTGTACCTCAGATACATGGAATGCCTCAGCATTACTGTACATGGCTTAGAGTGAGGTGTGGAAGAAACTGCTCTTAAAAAAAGGGAATCATAATTTTAGACAAAAGTTAACTCACACAGTAGCTAATAGAAGATATGACTAGGTCTCCTGCAGAAATTAATTACGATTGTCTTCAAACATCAATAATTAAGAAAGTTACTTTAGTGTACATTAATATTTTTTCATCTACTATGCATATTCTAAGACACTTTTTGGCATTTGAGAAACATATATATTTAGCTTCTATTCTTAAGGCAAATAATCACATTACATTTAGTCTATAAGAATGCATGCATACTAAAGAAAATTAGAAACCCAACTGCCAGAATTCTTTTATATAACTGTTTTGAACCTAAAATTCCTATGCAACTGTTTTTGGATATGCAGATCTTACGGATAAAAATCAGTATATCAATTCTTTTTTAATAAAGCATAGTATCAAGCTGATATCTGTAATAACTTACGGTAGTAAAAACAAAATACTGTTCTTCAAGTTCTTTTTCTTCTCTACTACTCTTCCGTAACTAGGCTATATGTTCAAGCACTCATCTGTGGGAAGATTATTTATTATGCTGAATTTCAACACAACTTTGTTTCAGTCTTTCTGTTCTAGCAGATTATTTCACATGCTTTGATAGCATGGGCCAGTTTTTCATTTCTGATCTGTTAGCTAGTTTGCATAACCATTCTTCAATGAAATCTGTCCAAGTCTCATCTCAAGAGAAAAGAATTGTTTTCTTAATAGAGTAAGACACTAGTAAGAGAAAGCAGGTTCTGGATGGGTGAAAAACTCCAAGTAGTACACACTCAGAACTCCAACGCTGCACCCTGCTTTAGGTCCAACTGATTTCACAGGATCTCAGTGTTTGTCTGAAGTGCATCCTTAAAATGGGAAATGGCCATAACTACAAACTGACAGGAAACTTCAGTTCAGTACTGCTTTAAAAGGCGATTTGGTGCACTACAGGTACAGCATAGCAGTGATTTTCAATCAACGCTCTGAAATGCATCTAAAGGACTGTAAAAGGTAACCAGAAAAATGTTACTTTATATAGTACAGCAATGTACTTGTAAGACTTCTGTGTCTTGCAATGGAAAGTTTTTAGGGAGTTCAGCAATTGGATTAAGAACATTCAAAGTTACTTCTGGATGCATACATGCATAAATCCAGAAGTGACTTCAAATATATCTATCTATTTATCTATAAATGCTCTTTAGTGTTAAATAATACTCTTGCTAACTGATCTAGGAAACAAAGAAAATAATTGCACTGAGAAAACCAAGCCAATTCCAAGGCAAGCCTTTTCTTACACCTATGACTTGCTTTCTAATGGTCTGCGATAGTGGGAGTTTTCAGAATGCAAAATAATACAGAATATTCCGTTTCATCAAGAGTTTATTATACTTGTTCACAGAATGACAGAATGGCTCGGGTTGGAAGGGACCTCAAGGATCACGAATCTCCAACCCTCCTGCCACAAGCAGGGCCACCAACCCCCGTATCTAATACTAGACCAGGTTGCCCAGGGCCCCATCCAATCTGGCCTCAAACAGCTCCAGAGATGGGGCATCCACAACATCTCTGGTCAGCCTGTGTCAGCACCTCACCACTCTCATAGTAAAGAACTTCTCCCTGACATCTTCCATGAGGAAATAAATGCAAAATTTACTTTCCTTTCTAAAAGTTTTAAATATAGTTATTTGAAAATAGCATATCAATGTACAATTCAGCAGATGATACACTACACCACCAACACACTTTAAACAGCTATAACACTTTACTGTAGCTGGAGAGTGACAACTGATAAAAACTAACCAGCATAGAACTGCTTGATGAAAAGCATCAAAAAAGGTTATCCTTTACCTACTGTTAGCTGTATTGCAAGGGTAATAAATGTTTACCTTCTATACTCTTGAAATAGCCTTTGATTTTTAAACAGATTTATAATTTTTGTTCAGAGATTGCCATCTCTCTTCTCTCCAGATTTTAAACATTCACAAATAAATTTAGGGGGACCTTTTATTCAGACTTACGCTCAACCACGTCAGTAACAGAAAGAAACCACCACAGAAGAACAGCGTTGTATGCTGCTGTTGTAATCAAAAATTAAGACTAACACATCCTTTATTTTAGAATCTATAGCCAATCTGTTTAGTTCTAACTTCATCTGCTGAAGCCTAACATAAGTACTATCAGGCACTGCAGCTTCGTATAAAGTTAGTTCACGGGATTTCTGTAAGGAGCAGAAATTATACTATATATATAATATATATATATATATATGTAAAACTATATATATATATATGTAGTGTGTATATATATATGTATATATATGTATGTATATCTATACATACACACATTAAATTTACTGCTTATAGTCTAGAAATTCAGAGTGATCACAGATTGAAACCAAGCTATCAAAGAGTCAATGTAGCCAATGAGATTTCAATGTGCTCAGCAGTCAGATCTACGATCCTTGACTTGGAGCTATTCAGTTGGAAGTGGTAAACCCTACATTATTTTTACAAGGCCAAAAGTAATTGGAAAATAATAGCATATATCCAAGAGTGATTGTGCTGCTTTTGCTTTACTACTTAAAAGCTTTTTAAGGTTTTAAAGCTGCAAACAGTCCCTTCAAATTTCCTAAATGAAACAAAGATTTTTATAGCAGCTGTCCTGTCACTATTCAGTAAAAGTATTCAAACAATAACAGATTAAGATGATGTCTTAAAAAACTTTTACTTAATAGAACCCCTAATTTGTTTCAAAAAGTCAGTGATACTAAATTTCTGTGTGCATATTTTATCACACTGGACATCACGCAGTTTAGTCACTTTCATACTATGTATCCTACAATGCATGACCTGAGGCTTAGCAGCTGTTGTTATAAAGAAGTGTTGAAGAAATATATGGGTATTTTAAATGAATTTAATTACAGGTTAATTTTCCCAGTCTGTGCAAGGCAAACTCTCCTCTTCATCCTCTGACTCAGGTGATGCTTCTTTAATTCGTCGTAACGCTTCATGGATGCTCCTTGTCAGAGGGTCAGTATCGGGCAGAATTGTAAAGGATTCTCTCAGCACATCTTTCTGCACTTTCTTCAGTTTCACCCCTTTCCTGATCTGCGCCAAGATGTTATTGCTATCATCTTCATCAGGAAAAGGAGGGAGACTCCTCTGCTCCACTTTTCTTAAGTGAAAGCTCCCACGCTTCAAAGAAGCCAGCACTTCATCCATCGGGGAACTCACTGCAGTAAAATCAAAATACCTTCAGTACCATTTTTACTGAATTTATTCAGCAGCTATTTACATTTCCTACACAGTCAAAAGTAGCCACATGCAATTAATGTAATAATCCCATGGTATAACTCTAAAGGAGACTGCAGTTTCAATTTCATCATTCTGCAGCTCTATTTTTGTATTAGCTTCCAAATTTATCTTCCCTACTACTAGGTCAAAACTAGATTATACAAACAATCATAACTTCTGAAATGAACGAATTTTGTAATAGATAAGTAGAAAAACTTATTGAAGATTGCTTTCCTATTACAAGTCAGGAAAATCAAAATATCTGCAATGAGTAAGACATAATGAAAGTGTGCATTACTTTATATTTCTTGACTTGGAAACTTATGTAGTGAACAGGTGCTGGATTGTTCAGCACAGGAATGCATGCCCAAAGGAAAATCTACATTTTCTGCACTTACATTCTGTGGTCAGTTTTACCTACTGTTTAAGTACTAATGCATGCCAGTGAGGGAAGCAGTACAGCCACAGGGTGTATTTCCCTCCTCCTTTGGATTACAAATGTACAAGCACCTAGTTGCAATGTGCCTTGTACAATGTGCAATGTACAAATTACTTTCTTTTATAATTAAGAGTATACACTTTATCACACATCCTTTCTTTATGATCAATCTGAAGCTAGTTCTCTGCAGAAATAAAAATTGGGCTTTGGCTCTTGTAAGAGCTACAGGTAAGATTTCTATGTCAGGGAATGTGATACAATAAACAGTACAAACTAGTTAGCAAACACTAGCACATATCAATCAACAGACGAATATCCAGCTCTCTTTTCTTTCTAAAACCTCCTTTGTATTTACGAGTGGAACTTGCCCAGATGACTAATGGCTCAGACAACTGTAACAGACGTGAGGAAAAGACAGAAGATAAAGGATTGCACATAATGGAGAAAGCAAAGACTGTCAGGCACTCATCTGTTGTAAGCTGACATCACTGAAGCTGCATAAAGATTCGGAACATCTTTCTTTTGAAATCCACAGAGCAGCAGATAGTGTACAACTGCTAGCGTTCATGATACTCTTAAGAGTATTTGATTTTCTGTTTGTCATTTTATGATGTATATCAAGTTGCACTTACAATATATGTTTTATATAAATGGAAACAAAGCAGGTACCAGAAAACAGATAAAAATGGAGCACAGAAGCATCAGTATTTATAATGAACTTAAGACACTGTACTTACAACTTGCAAGACTCGTAAGAGCTTAAGAATTCTGTAACTATTCAGCTGTTTCAAGATATTTCAATCCTTTAAGGAGCACTAAAGAGAAACACTCTGGTTTCTGTCTGATAGGCAAAAACAGCTCAAATTCTATATGCATGAGGAAATACGTCAACTGAGGGATATTTCCTGCAGTTGCAACTGACATACACAAATAGAATTTCTAATGAAACGTCATGCTACAATACCGCAAGTCAAGGCCCACCTCAGGTACTTTTCCTCAACAACATTCAGTACAACAGTTCAGTGCTTTTGAAAATTCTATATCCAATTTTCATAAAAAGACTCCACTCTAATATAGCACATTTTATCTAAAAAATGTTCTGTTCAAATGTGGCTGCCACTTCCCCATTTTATATACAATATAAAGTTAAAAGCAGATAGCAGTCACTCAGTGAAGTTATAACAAATCTACCAACTCAGCCCTGTGTCTTACTTACTTACCAATGAAATCTCTAATGAAGTCACATGCTTGGTTGATTTATTATAAATTCAATTCTCAATTGTAGTTAGATATGTATATTCTTACTTGATTCTCAAGGTGTTTTAAGGAGTTGTGCATTTTTCTATGAAATTTCAAGAAACCTTGAAGAAAACATTCTCAAGGTTTCCTATGTCCCAAGACATTACTTGTTTTATTAGGTCTTAAATTATGTCAAATTCTGTTTTGAAAAAAAAAAAAACAAAACAAACATTGCACCCTCAGGTGAAGCTAGCTGTAAGCAAGATAAAAAAGGTTCTTTAAGGCAACTTTTAGCTACATTTCTAGCTGATTTGATATGGTGTATCATATAATCAGTTTCACAAGTTGTTTTCTGTTTAATTGAACATATATATAGTATGCTGTCATAAGGATCCTACAATTTGTTTGCCAACAGTTGCCAACATTCTTTAAGTCATTAATGATTATACCTAAATCACAGCGTAGACTTCTCTATATATTCCTCTGCTCAATATGGCAAAGGAATAGATGTACATTGCAGTTAAATGCAGAAGAATGCAAACATTACCTCTCCTTCTCTGTAAACCCTCTAGATCACCTGTCTTCTTAAGCTTCTTCTTGGCACTGACTAGTTGACTGCTGTCAAACAGATATGCTGTTGGGACACTGGAAGAGTGCTGGACTCCCTTCTCTTCACTCTGACGTTTCACAAAGCTGCCGCTTTTCTCCAAGGATTTGGTGGTATCTTCCTTGGAGGGCAGAGGTGGAGGTGGAGGCAGAGGTGGTGGAGGCAAAGGGGGTGGAAGTGGTACTACACTAACAGTCTCTGTTTGTAGCTCAGTATTGATGAATGGAGGAGGACTAACTTGAGGCAGTTCAGATGTAACACTGCTAGGAGGTAACGAGATATCCTGAAGTTGTTCTAAGCTCGTGGATTCCTGCACTTGCAAAGGCTGAACTGCATTTTCCAATTCCACCTCTTCACTTTTCTCTTGGATTTGTATGGTTGCTGGCAAAGATTGAGGCTGATCTACAGAGGGCGCTGAGCTGGCTGCACATTTTCTTCTTGCATGAGCCAGTCGTAGTCTGGTTGATTTAAGTATTACTTGGCCAGGGTACCGCTGGAGTATAAAAGTTGATTACAATTAGGTAAGTATATGTAGAAGACTATTTTAGATACTGAATACTTGTCATGAGAGCTTGCTTTTCCAACCAGTAGAATTCATCTATTGTTTTCATGCATTTTATTCTACACATAAAACCGAAGCAAATATATCCTCACCTTTACATATATAAAATCCATTTTTCTAATTTCAATTCTTAGTTAAGCCAGAAGTTAACCATAACTGGTCTAGGGATACACAAGTTAAGATTAGGATTTCACTAATAAACAGTACATTCAAAAGTTTTTTTTTTTCCTGAAAATTGATAATTCCTTCTTGCTTCTCTTCTCTGAAGCTGGTTAAAGCTCTTCCCACAACAAAGTCCTCTCCAGCCTAAAACACTGACTTTAGATGTGAATTATACCATTCAAAAAGTTACCTCTAATAGATATCAAACATTTTGAAGATTCCCAGTGTTTTAAAATTTAGTTCCTGAATTTATTTCCTCAATATGTCGTTTCAAATTTGATTCATCCATGGACATTTTTACACAAAAGTAAAAACTGATTCTGAAAGCAAGGTGTAAAACATTTTTTAAAAATTGTGACATTGTGTCAGTTCATTATGAAGTGCTGGTTAACATAAGTAAATTTGCTTTAATTCACAGAATGTATATAATTAAAAAGCCTTGCAAAAAACAAGGATATAAAGAGCATACTGCAGAGGAAGACAGCTTTCCAATAAATAAATTTCTCATGTCTATCTTACAGTCTTCACCAAATAATACAATCTCTATTTTAATGCACCTTAATCCCTCTCCTTGTTCTCTAACTGTTATGCAATATTGTATTGATTTCATGACACTAACATCGTAACGGAAAGGGACAAGTATTGATAGATGTTCTGAAGTCAGTGGTGGTGCAGCTTTATCAGATGGCAATGCTCCTTGCAAGAAATACCATTTGGATTATATTTCTAAAGAAGTCCGTTAAATGCCTTGCCACAGTGTGTAGAGTAGGACAACAGAAGCTTATTATGGCACTGATAATATAACAATGAGAGAGATTTGCTACTACCAGTGCCATAATTCATGATAAATTTTCCAAAGAGTAATTAACTACATAGTAGAAGAAATTAACAAATAGTATAGTTTGGTCTGGGGAGGAGTGGAAATTTCTTCTGTCAAAAAAAAAAAAAAAAAGAAAAAGCATGAAAGTAGAACAAGTCTTCTTCTGTTACCTGTTTAAATGTGCGAAGTCTGTCCAGTGTTTTCTGTCGTTCCTGACTAACCCAGGAGCTCTTTCTTTCCTCTTCATCTTGTAGCTGATCTCGCTTCTGAGAACATACATGGAAACATTAATATTACATCTAAAGCTACATTTAACATCATAAGCATACTGCATTTAAATAACTCTTCTAATAACTGTAATTAATTATTTAATGTTCTATTTTTCAAATAAACACATTTGAGAAACTTTGCTATCCCCTCAAATAACAGAACAGATTTCCTATTTTGTAACTGTGATGAAATGCAAGGCTTGGTAAGAAGATTTCAGTGTGGAACTGGAACACTGGGACTGGAAATTTTTGACTTGAAAGATGATAAATAGCATATTTAGCAACAATTTAAACTAAAGTTTTGAATTTTATTATCTTGAAGTAGCATATTTAATCTAGCTTGATTTTCTATAATCTTTTTTTAAAAAGGTCTGAAGCTCTTCCTCACAGCTAAGACAGTAGTATTTTTTTTGTTTTGGGGATCTTAACTTAGGAGAAACACATTTGATTCCCTTCTATTAACTAGTTATCCACTTTCTTTCAGCTATTTATTCTTTGAAACAAAACACTTTAGTCAAATTTATTAAAATTGGTACTCAGTATCAAATGGCAAAAGTCACTCTTAGATATCAGTACAGAATTTATCAGAAGAATGTGTCATAGAACAAATGACTACAAAGAAAAACCTCATAAGCAATAATGGCGGCCTTAATTCTTAAAAAACTTATGGCTTTTTTTTTATGTAACTAAAAAAAGCTGATACATATTGTTAAAAGTTATGATTACTGCCTTCATGAACTTTTATCCTTATTCAATCAACAAAAAAAACAGAGTTAGACAAGCTGCCATTTTCATTATTTAGCTAGTTGTCCTTTCCAAGAGCCAGCTCCTGTGTTTTCTAATGAGATCTGTATAGATAGATGCATCGGAGAGGAGTACATGCATAGTAAATGGTTAAAACAGGAGACAGAAAAAGAAGAAAGCAATAGAAGTAATTGAGTAAGGGGGAAAAGAAGTTATAAGAATACAAAGAAAAGATTATAGCAACATGAAAGAGTTTTACCACCATACCTACATTTTAAATATCCAAAGAGTGTGCGTGTGTCTGTGTAAAAACCTATTTTGCAACAATAGTGGATATTTCTCAGTCAGGTTAAGGCATATCTTTATATAACATAAGTTAGTAAACCCATAGAATAAATAATAAAAAAGCCCTTAGTATTTAACAGACAAGAAAATTACAGAATCATAGATCCTTTTGAGTTGGAAGGGCTTTTAAAGGTCATCTAGTCCAAACCCCCTGCAATAAGCAGGATCACTTACAGCTACATCACATTGCTCAGAGCCCTATTCAGCCTGACCTCGAATGTCTCCAAGGACAGGGCTTCTACCACCTCTCTGGACAACGTGCTCCAGTGTCTCACCATCCCTACTGTTACAAGTTTCTTCATACCCAATCTAAATCTCTCCTCTTTTAATTTAAAACTATTTCCACTTGACCTATCACAAAACGCACCACTAAAGAATCTGTCAACTGCTTTAGATGCCGAAATTCCACTATCAGGTCTCCCTGGAGCCTTCTCTTGTTTAGTCTGGAGAAGAGGAGGCTCAGGGGAGACCTCACTGCATTTTACAACTTCCTGAAGGGAGGTTGTGATGAAAAAGGGTCTGGCCTCTTCTCCCAGGCAAATAATAGGACCCGAGGAAATGGCCAGAAGTTGTACCAGAGGAGGTTTCGGTTGGACATTAGGAGAAACCTTTTCTCTCAGAGGGTGGTCAGGCACTGGAATGGCTGCCCAGGGAGGTGGTGGAGTCGCCATCCCTGGCAGTGTTCAAGAGGCGCCTGGATGAGGAGCTACAAGATATGGCTTAGTGCTTGTGGTACTAATAGGATTGGGAATGCGGTTGGACTAGACGATCTTGCAGGTCGTTTCCAACCTCGTGATTCTATGATTCTATGATTCTTCTCCAGGTTGATCAGCCCCAGGTCTCCTAGCTCATACTCACAGGGAGCTGTTCCATCCTTAAAATTGTTTTTTCTTCTGGACACACAATAGATTCATGCCTCTCCTGTAATGAGGACTCTCCACCTGGACTTGGTACTCAGGTGAGATCTCATTAGCGCAAAGTAGAGTAGCAGGATCACCTCCCTCAACCTGGTGACCAAGCTCATCAAGCCTTTTATTTTTAAGAGTGATAAATGGACTGTAATCAACATAGTAGAATTATTTGCTTTATTTTAAGAAATTTAAAAAATACATATTCTTCCAAGTTCCTGAAAGAGTATTCTGGTAAGCGTAGCCTTTTCATAATATAAATTATGCAACTGACTTCCTGGATAAATGTATCAATCTTAAAAATGTAGAAGGATAACTGATAATCATTTTCAATAATCTAACTGACGCCTGAATTAAAAGGACTTAGATTTCAACACATCTTTGTCAGTGATCTTTATTAAATGTGGATATTACATCAGCATTAAAGACCTAGCCTATAGCTCAAACAGTCTTTAAAAAAGTCTGTACAGCACGACAGTTGGACTAGGTAGCTTATTCTGTGTTACAAGAATACACAGAGAAATGTCAAGCAAGATCCAGAACTATGTCGGAAATTCTGCATACAGCCTAACTCTAGCAGTAATCATTTAGACTGTGAATAAAGTATTAATGATTTTTTTTATTTGATTGGGTTCAGTTTCATCCTAACAGAGCTCTATGTTCTTCCTTACCAGCATAATATGAAATAGAAATCTGATTTGATATTCTACTAATGAATGTATAACAAGCAATGCAAGTTATCATCGAAATGCCTGCTGAAAAGCAGAAAGCTCAAACTTACTAGCTGAACATTGTGGTGCATTTTGTACTCCTCTTCACTCTGGTGACGCTGCTGGATCTTTTCATTATGCTTTGCAATACAAATCTCCTGTAGAGACACAAGATGATGTCTATAAAATGTGAATTTCAAATATCAACGTTCAGTTTATAATGTAATATTTAGCAAATGGCACTAAGAATTGGAAAAATAGAAATTACAAAGCCCATTTCAGACAATCAAATTAAAAACGTTGATTTATCTTACGATCAAACCATAAAATCTAAACAAAATCAAGTGAAACAAAGCCAAACCTATTACTTTTAGCTGTCAAAAGAATACACAACTGCTGCTTGAAATGTACTCATTCTGTAGAAGAGACTTAATTGGTAAGAAATGCTGATCAGTTAAATACTTCACAAAACTCTTATACAAATACATGGCATTGCACAAATGGGTAATAATTAACTTGTGAATAAATTGCTTATTTCTGTTTCTGGAATGAGGCAGCTTCCCATTTAGAAGTGTGAGTTCATCTTTACATAAACAACCTGAAACCACAAACATTAATAAAACTGATACAATTTTAGGTACATACAAACAGGTTTATTTATTACACCAAGTTGGTATCTACAATACATGGTTTAAAATCTACACAGAATCACAGAGGTTGGGAGGGGCCTCTGGAGTTCATTTAGTCTAATCCTCCTGGTAAACTAAGTTTGCTAAAGAAGGTTACACAGGAAAGTGACCAGGGGTTTGAACTATCTCCGGAGAATGAAACAGACCAATATGGGACACCAGGTAGTTGGGGTCTACTAGAGCTGCCTGACTAAGGGAGGCCTTCTTGTTACAAAAGGCATTGCATTCAGGCTCTCATCCTAACAGGGTATTTCAATCACCCAGACATCTGCCAGGGAAACAACACGATAGGCTGCAGGCATTCCAGGAGACTCCTGAAGTGCATGGACAGCTTCCTGACCCACGCATTGGACAGAACAACCAGCAGTGAAGTGTCAATGGACGTGGGGCTCATCAATGCAGACAAGTTTATTAAAGAGGTTAGGGTAGCAGGCACTCAGGCTGTAGTGACCATGGCCTGCCTGGTCAAGTTCATGATCTCAAGGATTATAGGCCCAGCAAAGAACAGAGTCAGGACCCTGAACTTCAGGAGAGCAAAATCCTGGATGTTTAACAAATTGTTCAATGAGATCTGGAAACTGTTTTTGGTGACGAGCGGCGTCCCCCAGGGATCTGTCCTGGGACCGGTGCTCTTTAACATCTTTATCAATGACATCGATGACGGAATTGAGTGCACCCTCAGCAAGTTTGCTGACGACACCAAGCTGAGTGGTGTGGTTGACACAGTTGAAGGACGGGATGCCATTCAGAGGGACCTCGAGAGGCTAGAAAGGTGGGCCCGGGTGAACCTGATGAGGTTCAACACGGCAAAGTGCAGAGTTTTGCACTTGGGCCGGAGGAATCCCAAGCATCCCTACAGACTGGAAGGAGAGGTCCTTGAGAGCAGCCCTGTGGAGAAGGACCTGGGGGTCTTGGTAGACGAAAAACTTAACATGAGCCAGCAGTGTGCCCTTGCAGCTTGGAAGGCAAATGGTATCCTGGGCTCCATCAGAAGAGGGGTGGCCAGCAGGAACAGGGAGGTGATTGTTCCCCTCTATTTTGCTCTTGTGAGGCCCCATCTGGAATACTGCATCCAGGTCTGGAGCCCCCAGTACAAGAAAGACAGGGAGCTGTTGGAGAGGGTCCAGAGGAGGGCCACAAAGATGATCAGGGGACTGGAGCACCTCCCCTATGAGGACAGGCTGAGGGAGCTGGGCTTGTTCAGCCCAGAGAAAAGAAGGCTGCGGGGTGACCTCATTGCAGCCTTTCAGTACCTAAAGGGAGCCTACAAACAGGAGGGGAATCAACTCTTTGAAAGGGTGAGTGACAGCAGGACAAGGGGAAATGGTTTTAAGCTGAGGGAAGGGAGATTTAGGTTGGACGTCAGGGGGAAATTCTTTACGGAGAGAGTGGTGAGGTACTGGAACAGGCTGCACAGGGAGGTTGTGGATGCCCCGTCCCTGGAGGTGTTCAAAGCCAGATTGGATGGGGCCCTGGGCAGTCTGGTCTAGCATCAGGTGGAATGGTTGGTGGCCCTGCACGTGGCAGGGGGGTTGGAGATTCATGATCCTTGAGGTCCCTTCCAACCCTGGCAATTCTGTGATTCTGTGACACAGGAACAGAACAGAGCAGACAGTTCTCTTAGGACACTTTTCTCTTAGGACAAGAGTTCACTGTCTCCCAGCACAAGTAGTCAGGCAGAGGAGGTAGGAAATGGAAATGGCTGAGCAAGGACCTGCTGTTCAAACTGAGGGATAAGAAGGACATGCACAGGAAGCAGAAGCAGAAATGGGCCAGGAAGAATAGAGGGATGCTGTCCAGACATGCAGAGAGGATCAGAAAAGCCAAGCACAGATAGAACTAAACTTACAAAGAAGGATTTGGGGATCCTGGTGGATGAGAAGTTGGACTTATACCAGCAGTGTGCTCTCGCAGTCCAGACAGTCAACGGTATCTGGGACTGCATCAAAATAAGAGATGATAGCCAGGAGTGGGAGAACTGTCCCTTTCTACACTGCCCTCGTGAGACCCCACCTACGGTGCTGCGTCCAGGACTTAGAGCCCCCAGCATAAGACATATGTGAAGCTGTTGGGTCCAGAGGAGGCCACTAAGATGATCAGAGGGCTGGAGCACCCCTCCTACAAGAAAGGTTGAGGGAGCTGACCTTGTTCAGCTTGGAGAAGAGGTCTCTTGGGAGACCTCATTGAGACCCTCTACTTACTTGAGGGGAACTTAGAAATGAAAAGGAGATAGATTTTTTATAGTCTCCTTTTTACAAGGGGAATGGTTTTAAACTAAAAAAAGGGAGATATAGGTTACATGTTAGGCGGAAATTCTTTACTCAGGGACTGGTGAGGCACTGGCACAGGCTGCTCAGAGAAGCTGTGAATGCCCAATCATCCCCAGAGGGGTTCAAGCCCAGGTGGGATGGGAACTCAGGCAGCTTGATCTGGTGGTTTGCAACCCTGTGAATGGCACTGTGGCTCAAACTAGATAATCTCTGAAGTCCCTTCTGACCTAAGGCTTTCTATAATTCTGTGAAGATGATCACATTCTATTTCTTGGGGTTTTTTGCATGTTGGCAAGAATATTGAAAAATATGAATAGTACTTCAGTATGTAAATTGCAGGAACATATTCTCATAACTGAGGCCACACTTTCCTGAAATTTTTTGTTTAGCATCAATATTTTAATCTTTCTGAATAAGAGCAATAGTGAAATATATTTTAAGCATGTAAAGAAAGAGGATAAGCTGGACAAAAACATCCTTGGTGCTGATCCCATATTAATAAAGAAATGACCTATTTTAATATAATTAGTTCTGCATGACTTGAAATAATACCAAGAAAAACCCCACAACAACTAGGAGGGGCTGAAAACATGTCACAGCACAGTATTAGAACTCTGAATCATCTTAATTACCAAAATGTTCTCAAACAAAGAAAGGCTGCAATTTCACAGGGATAAATGTGAGGTTCTAAATGGACAAGATTAAGCTTCCGCAAGCAAAGGATGATGGAAAAAAAAAAAGTAAGGTGGAAATATTAAAAAAATGAACTGTATGATTATGGTGGATGACAAATTGAACATAAATCAATAACCTCATACTCTTGTTAAAAAGGAAAAGATTATTCCAGCTATAAAGATTGTATGATTCTATAATTAGGAATATGGCTTGGCACATACGTGACATAATCCTTCATATTCTGGACTATTTAAAACTTTAGTGGGGGCATTATGATCAGTTAGAGAGCCACATTTCATGAAAGATGCTGACCAACCATGCAAACTTCAGAAAGTATCTAGAAGTTTTTGGCCTTTAATCATCTGACCAATTTCTGCAGTTCTGTTCAAAAGACAGAAAAAGAGAACTGATTAATTACTTAACTTTTATCACTGGATAAGTTAATACATTCAAAACTAGTAATTCGTAATATAGTGAAAAGAGGTCTGTATTAGTGTTGTATTTAGTTAGTGCCAGTGAACGTTGCTTTCATACTGAACAGTGTCCCAATTAAAAAGTTATCTTCTCATTTAGTAAACTCAGTATGTGCAGAAAGCATATTTTAAGATTTCTATGTGGTTATGCCCTTAGAACATAATAGTTATAATATTATGAAACCATACCAAGTAACCTTGCATACATCTGCTTAGGCATGGGCTGTGCTTTAACCTCAGTGCTTGTGAAACAGTAAAAATCTCCTATTAAATGGCATAGCAGAATGTGAACATTTGTAGGTGAAAGCATGCTCTATAAGAATGGTCCAAACAACTTCATCAAAAAGTTCTCTCTCTTAGCTGCTCAGGATAAGAAATATTTTTTCTGGATGTCAAATAATTCTATTCATTATTCTGTTTTCCAAATAATTTTTCTAGACACCTTCTAGATTATTTTTATTACAATAGCACTGCTAGAAATCTAGCTCTATAATAAAACAGATGTGTTTTTCATACTATAATTTAATTAATACTACTGTGCAGCCAGCAGGGGGTAGACTGGGATAACAATAGAGAGAGATCTTTCATGAAAGATTCATAACACTTTTTAAAGAAACAAGAAAAATGAGTGCTTTTTCTTTTCTAACTGTCATCAAGACAAAAGAACTTCAGGAGACGATTGCTCAATAAACGCAAATAGATTTTATGTAAAAAATGAGTATAGAGCTTGTATTCATGTTAATAAAATATCAGAACAGTGAAACTGCACTGACCTCAGTGAAACCAAAAATTTTCAAAACATCTGGCTCAATACTCAGAAGTACAACTGAATAAGGTCTCTAACAGATCTCTAAGAGAAGTTTCTAAGTAAAGGTGTCTCAAAAATATTTGACAGTCATAAAAAAAAATCAACTGCATAAACAAGGAAAGAATTTCTGAAAATGACTATAGTGAAAGTAGTTTTTATTTGCATCTTATTCAATACACAGTAATTATCTGTTGCTACATTATCTCCTTAACAGACAAGACTTTCAAGTACTTGGTTGATGGAACAACTTCCCCTGAAAAATAAAGTCTGATGTCAGAGAATCATTTTCTGTGCTTCCTTAATCATTCTTCACTGTATTTTGTTAATCATATAAAACACAAAATAAAGATTCTATTTAAAATGGGATCTCAGCTAGGGCTTGTGTATATTTTGAGAATATACAGGACGATGTGGAAACACTTCAAGAAGTTTTATTTGTTAAACCCCAGTTACTTAATACTTTTAACAAGCATTGTTCTCTAAAAACTTTTATCATTAGAACTCATTATCTCATTATTAATGCATATTGATCTAAGTGTCAACTGTTAGAGAACAACGAACAAGTCATTCTGGAAAAAGAAATGAATATATTTACCCACATTTGACATAGCACGTCAAAATCTTTGCTGCATGAAAAAACACTTTCAACACAATATTTCAACCACAAAACACATTAAAAAATGAAACTGAGCCTATTAATTCATTATAGCAAACCTCATTTTATAAATTAAGAACGTATACTGGATTTTATACATAGCTGCTTTTCCCTAGAAGGACAGAAGTAAGAGAAAAGTAACTTATGAATGAGAAAACATCCTTGAAGATTTTCTTCTGCAAAATATAAATCAAGACACAAATCTGCTCTCTATAAAAAGATGCTAGAATCTCCGCATGCAAGTGAGTTGGTAAGTTAATAGAAATAATTTTATTTGTTCTCTTTCCTGTCATTAAAGAGTTCTTTAAAGCCAAATTAAATTATCTTAAAGTATCAATTTTATTATATATACTTGTTTATTTGTCTAATTACATTCTAAAACAACTTTTAACATATAGTAAATATAATCCACAGCATTTCTGAGATGTGGAAGTTTAATTTAATGTAATACAATCTTTTGAAATATAAATTTTGCAGTTTTATGAAGTTTGCTAATAATGACAGAAATTTGCAATCTACTGGTACCTTTTTATTTCTGAGGTAGGCTTTCTTGGCTGAAATACGTCCACGCCTTGCTTCCAGCTGGCGGATTTTCTGCTGCAACTTTTGCAGCTCCTCTTTTTGCAAGTGTACAGATGTTGCTGGATCCTCTTTTTCAAGCATTGCTTCCATACTTTCGTAAGTGTCATAATATACCACTTCATCTCTCTTCTCTGTTTTAAAAATGTCAGCAACGAAAAAGTACAATCAATAGTGTGGTTTTGGTCAACAGTTCGCTTTGTTACAAGACAATGCCACCGTGTGTTGCAAGATTTAATCCATAAGAATACTACAGTCATTTCAGAAGAAGAGTAAAAGCAGAAGGTTAGAAGCTTGTCATTCAGGTAAGCTCAAACATTAAAGAACAAATGTTACTGAAAATGTGGCACTTCTGTCTGTAAACTAACTTGATCACAGTGCCCATGCATGCCTTTGGATCGCTTAACTAATACAAGGGACCCACACTGTACAATAATATCCTCTGGACTTCACTACAAAGTTCACACGGTATAGATTCTTTCTGAAGTCTCTATGCTTAAGATTATTCTGCCACAACCTACAAGGGAAATTAGATAATACATTGCCAAAAATCCACTCAGAATGTTTCTAGCCTTCTAGTCACTGCCTGTGCAGAGAGGCAGCAGTGGAAAACCTGAGCAATTCCATGATTCTATGCTTCCTCCTTCATCAGCTACGTCTTAGGAAGATTGTGGATTCCACCTACTTCTGCCCTTAGTTAATATGGGGAAGAGGACAGGGTCTTCTTCAGAACACTGTCAATTTCAGAAGTGGTTGTTAGTTCAGATCATTTGTGCATAAGGTCTCTGCTGCAACCAAAATTTTGATCACATAATCTTAATTTTGAGTCAGCAGGATATGGCACTATCAGAAAAAAGAAATATCAGACCTATTCAAGTCTGTAGTGTAGTGCACAGTTTATACAGAGTTTCATCCAGACATAAAGCTGTTAAATCATTAGAATCCACTTCGAAATAGTGAGTAAAAAAAAAGAACTATGGCTAAAACCAATTGTATTTCCCTACACACTTATAAAATGGAAGAATTCACTTGTCTTAAAATGGGATTTCATTAAGAGTTAAGGATAGCAATTTACAAATGAAACCTTACCAGATCAGCTGCAAAACTGTCAAATGTACAAGATATAAAACAGAATATCCTGGACTGGAAGGGACCCACAAGAATCACTGAGTCTAAATATGGCTTCACATAGAGACAACCCAAAATTTAAACCCTATGCCTGAGAGAACTACCCAAATGCCTCTTGAACTCTGGCAGCTTGGGGCTGCTGGGGAACCTATTCCAGTGGCTCTGTTGAAGAACCTTTTCCTACTACTCATCCTGAAACTCTTTTGATGTCAATTCTCACTGTTCCATCAGGTCAACACGTTAGATATTGTTTTACTGTTTGGAAAAAAAAAAAGAAAGAAAAAAGGAGAAAAAAAAAGCAACAAACACCCATCAAAAATCCCAAAAAATTCCTGTAAAAAGCTTTAGAACTTCCAAAATTGTTGTAACATCTGTTAAGAACTTCAACATTTTAATGACACAAATACTTAGAATAAAAAAATTATTCACGTTCAGATACAATCCCAGTGATTTCCAACTGTTACACCCTCCCATCCAAAACAGTAACTAATTAACTCATTCTCTGGTGACGGCAATGCATCCACCACAAATCCATCTTGGAAAGATACATAGGTTGTTTGTACGGATAGGATAAGACTCTCTAAAATTCTAACCTAATAAATTCACATTTTTTGAATGCTCGTATTTGATTAATGATGGTAAAAGACTACTACTGCCATTTAAAGATAATATATTATTATTTAATAGTTTTCAAACCCAGTGCGCTGGATTTGCAAAAGAAAATATTTATTAAAGAGTATTCCATAAATTTAAAAGAACAAAGGAAGCCAGAACAGTCAACTATTCAACTGTTAGCTGAGTAGGGGACAGTCTGTATTTTTAGTTGACTAGTGGCTTTGTTTTACTATGGGTCAGGTTGAGATGCCAAGTTTTGGGGTTGGTTTTTTTTTTTTTTTTTTTTTTTTGAGATTTCTAGAGGTAACATTTGTTAAAACTTGTAATGACCAATTTTGTTTTTACAGGAGACTTAATCTCTGAAGGCCCTTTGGTTCTACTACCATTAAATGAAAGGATTTTGATACAAACTTCTGATACAAATTTCTCAGTCCCCTGTTCAAGTGTTTTCTTTCAATAAAATTAATCAGTACTCATTACTCAAGTACAAAGCACAATATTTGTATAGCAACAAGAAGCTTTCCACCAAGTCACTTAAGTCACAGCCATTTAAATCACTTACAGAAATTTTAATCCCTAGCTCCAACACATGCAGTTAACTTTGTTGCCATCACAAACCTGACAGTAGAACATTAATACAACAGCAAGAGGAATCTGTAGTACTCCATGTTTTTTCTTTTTCCAGAGGCAACTCAAAATACAACCTACCTTCAAATCTCTGCTCTTTCAAATGACTTTTCTTGTTCTTAAAAAAAGAAAAATGCTACACAAGCCCTATACTCTAAACAATAAAACAGAGCTTATGTAAATAAAAATATTAAGCATAAAAAGGTCCAAAGACAGAACTAGATTCAAGAATGCTGTACAGTTTTCTTGTACCATTTCTTTAGTTTCTGAGTACACAATACTTAGTCTGGAAATAAGAGGCTTGCACCACTGTTCTACACCAGTGAGACTGTGATAAAAGTAGCTTCAAGAAGAAGAGTCACTTTTAAGAAATGAGTAACACAAATGCAGGTTTTTATCCCATAAGACCAGCAATAAAGACATTTCTTCTTGCCTGAATTTAGTTTTTCAAAACTTTACACAGAATCTTATTTGCTCATTTTCAAACACAGACAATGAAAATCATACAAAAACTCCTGCATCTGTACTGCCTATGAACAAGCGTAAATTTAATTTAAAATATCCAGCTTGTCACATGGTAGAGAAACTGTTCTCATTCCATTCCCACAGGCTTTACTAGACCATTAAGAATAGAATTATCTTTTTTTCAGATCATCTATTAAAATGCACAAAGTACCTGATATCAGTCTTCTGATGCTTTCAAGTTGTGCTGTCAGCAGCAGCTCTTCATATTTCAAGATCTCAAACTGCACTTCATATAACTGAAGCTGCAGATCATAATAATCAGCTTCTAACTGATCCAAGTGGGCTATGGCTTCTGTACCACCCTTCAGACTTTGCATCTAAATGGAAAGAGGGGAAAAAAAAAAAAAGAATAAACATACACTTCCAGGATAAAGAAAATTAAACTACGGATTTTATCATTACAGCTAGATACAGTCTAGTACACTAAATACAGCATGTTAAAATGGAATGCATCAAGAGGCTGGTTTTGATAAGCCACACACTATCAGGCACCTACAATACTTGACATTTTTTTCAATATGGTACATTACTCCCGATGGCTAAAGTGCGAAATGCAGGAAGTAGCGTGAAATAACCCTATCACTCTTACTCTGCAACCTGATTCTCACAAGAGATACGATGTTCTTATCTTTAATCCAAAAAAATGTAACAGCATCTAGAGAACTACCTCAAAATTGCTATAGCTGAAGTAGGAAAAAAAGTGAGAGGTGGTAGAATCAGGGAAAATTACATGTATTGATTTCTGATACTGACAACTTTACTGAGGAGTTTATTTCAAATTTAAAAAAAGGCTGAACAGGGTTAAACAGGTGTTTTTTAATTATATTTTCTATCCCAACATTACAACATCAACATTCTTGAATACAGGCCTTACAAAGTAGAATATCTGCAGAGCCAAAGCCCTTTATACTATTTTTTTCCAAAATATTTATTAAAAAAAAACCTTCAAACTTATCTAGTACTGCAGCTTGGAAGGCAAAACATCCAAAAAAATTAAGAAAATACCAAGGTCTATCCCCTCAGAACATACAGAATCTTGTAGTGGCCTTGTTTCTGGAGCCTTTCGAAGGACAAAAAAAGAGTAGTTGAAGCTTTTGTGTATTTTTCAGTAATTAATTGTGACTTTAGTCTGAAAAAGTGACACAAGAAACATCAAAAATGAACTTAGATCATTCTCCTTACTTCAGGCAAGCATGCATTCAGCAAAACAATATTTAAATACTGTTGGCTATTTAAATAGTTGGCCAACCAGATCACACTTAGGAAACACTTGTTTTCACTTTATGGCGAATTTGAAGCCATGCAGCAGAAGTGCTGTCACAGTCAAACTCTCTACCTTCTCAGAAATTAATCCCTTACAGTTTCTCCCACACAGAGGATGAAAATAAATCTAATTCTTACTGAAGACTTGTGATCTATCTTACTGTTCTAATGGAAGGGGATCCAGTTACCGTAGGACAGCAACTCGAACACTAAAAAGTGACATCTACCTAGGAAAAATAAAGGATCTATTCAACCAACCATACATTTTAGAAAAGATAATTGCTACCAGGTTTTTACACCTTGGTGGTCTTTTGAGGGATCAATGCTGTCAATAACCACAGAAGAGTTTTCTAGGTTTAATTTATCATATATATTTAGACATAATTACATTAGATCAGAAACACCCCTGTACTGAATCAAACTAAAAAAGTATCTTATTGTTTCAGACAAAGGTTGTAACAGTGAATATCCAGGAAGATGAAATACGGCAGAGAGTACCAGAACACTTCCCTAGAAGTCTCTCTCAGAGCTTGCAGCTCCAGACTTCTTAAGCTGCCTTTTATGTTGAATACCCTCCCCTGATTTTACTACATAATTTTGTCCTATCCCCTCTTTAATAGTGTGTAAGCTCTTAGCACTTGAATCATTATCCAGTCACAGAGATTTCACAGCTTAATTAAACAATGAGGAAACAGCTCACTAAATTATACTTTATTTTGCCTGAGATTAATAGACGGAAGAACTGTGAATCAACTCTTAGAATTTCTATTCTTAAAATTTCTTCTACTAAATTATTTACTAAATGCATTTTTTTTCCCAGCCAGAAAGGATGAATAAGTCTTTAAGCAATTATCATAAATGTTACAATCAATAATGCATAGTTCCTATGTTTTAGTCCAGTGACACCACTGTGTCTTGCTAAGGTGGTCTACTCTTCTACATCCATCTCTCTACATCCAATTATTACCAAAGCAGTAAACAAAATAAAGATTGCAAGCTGTTAGGGCAAAAGGACCATTTCTTCTGAATGTCCCAGTTCTTAATAGAAACTAGGTTGCAAGAGACACTCCTGTGTTTTGGCACGTTAAAAGGGTTCTCTTTCTGTAATACATATTTTTTTTTCAGCAAATTAATGCAATGACATTCAAACTTCTACCACAGAACACAAACTTCTTCTAAGTGCTTTGTCAGTGAACTGTGAAATTCACCCAAACTTTTCTTCAAAAAAAAAGTTCACAAATTTTAAGCCCACAAACACTGCAGACTACATAGACACAAAGTAGAAGTATCAGCTAATGAAGCTAAAGCAGCTCAAAGTTTTTTTCAGCTGCACTAGTATCTGCAACACAAAGGCCCAACTGACAACAAAATCTTAGCCTTGCAAGCATACGTTAGAGATGCTGCCACCTACTTGATCTATTTAACATCACTATATTCAGTTTTCACATGCAACAGGAATGTAAAATGAATATGGTTGTATGGTTCTCAGACATCTAAGCTATATTAAAGTGCATTAAAAAAAATTGAACCTTTCACTTCAGTCATTTGTGAGTGTGTAACCAATCTCAATACAGTGGAGAAATACAGGAACTTCAAAGTGAGAATGTGTTTACAGGAAATAAATATTTTGCAGCTGGACGAAGAACTAGAACTGAGGAGATTTTAGTTCAATTTCCTGATATGCCTCAACTTCTTGCATTCATTATAACAAATAATTGAGTCTGTGTGGCCCTAATTGAAGTAACAGAGTTTCTTTGATGTCTCATTCATACTAAATGAAGATCTTAATCAGAAACTTAGTTTTCCTAACATTTCTAAGGCAGAATGTAGACTCGAACACGGGTAATGTAATAAGGACATAATGAATTAAAACAAAAAGCCTCTGATAAGAACTGTAACATACTTTCTAAGATAACAAAATTTAAAAACATAACTTAAAAAATAGTCAAAGAAGAAGTAGTCAGAGAAATAATGATCATCAAATCCACCTTTCTACCATAACAGAATGCTTGCAGACAAGTTAAAAAAAAAATATATATCTGTGGTGTCTTTAGCAATTTGCTAAAGACATATATATTGCTGATAACAACAAAAAAAAAAGCTTTCTAGAAAGACTTTTTCAGGTTTTCTTGAATCGAATCCTTAAATGATATTTTTGTTTTTGAATGCCTGATGCATTCAACTCAGGCAAAAGCAAAATAACAGTCAAGAAATTCAATAAATGTTTAAATATTCCAAGTCATTGGAAGTAAATGTATCCTTCACTCAGGCTCATTGCACAAGAAAAAGAACTTCTAACTACAAACCACAAAAAAAATTACAGAACTCAACCTGTAATTTATCAGAATATTTTTTAATGAAAAATATCACTAACTACTTACCATGGTGTTTAAAGTGAATGTTTACAACTGTACTGTAACACTTCTAAAGCAAAAAAAAAAGGAAATAAAAAATACAAGTCTAGTTACTGATTCCTACATACACAGGAAGAGACTTGTTGGTTTTTAAGTGTTTAGCCACACATTTCCATTTGTCCAAACTATTTCACATACTTACAGAATTACAAAGGATTCTCCCTGTGATTTAATGTTTCTGTTTACTGTCATGAGGACATGTCTTGGGAACCAGTCCACAAAAACAGACTCTGGTCTGCCTCAAAGGAAAGTTTTCATCATTCTTCTCAAACAAAATTAAGAATAACAGATGGAATTTATAAGAGGTACTGAACAGGAAAATAAAGAGATCTAACTGTTATTTGAGTAGATTTCTACTTTTGATAAAAGTACTGATAGCAATAATGCAAACAGTTTCAGCTGTTAAGTAAACCAGTAACAACTGGCCTAATTTAAATTGCAATTCAGACTACTAAAACACTGTTCAAATCCCAAGTACATACATGTGCAAAGTTAGAGCCCACATATAGCTCCTTCCACTGTATCTCATCACTCTATACTTTCAGTTACCCAACCTCTGTATATACAGCTTTACTGACTTATGAGAAGCTAAATTAAAATATTAAAGTCAGAACTTTATTAAAACTTAGAAGACACTACCTAATTCAAAGATATCATCACTGATGTGGACAGCTTCTTCAAGGAGTTTTTGAAGTGTAATTAGAGTAGTAATCAAACAGTCTACGCAGGAAAAAAACAAAAACTATTTTTGACCTAATATATTTTAAGACTTTGTCACAGTGAGAAAGAAATTAAAATAAAGTATCAAAAAGACAACTTTGTTCTTAAATTTCAACTGCTCACAACAGCTGTTTTACATTATTTTATCCACAAAATGACATACATGAAAATTCAAAAGGATCAAATAGCAGGACACCAGATATTCTTCCCTAAAACAACAGTTCCAACTAAAGAACTTCATTATTAATATAATCTTTTAATGAGAAATTTCACATGACTTTTAGCTGGGTTTGTTATACTTCAAAAATACACATTTTGTCCAAACAAAATGGTTGAGTGGTAGGCAGATCACCTAACAGCTGTAGCCACCGGGCTTGTAAGGCTGAAAAAACATGCCTCACCAACCTGAGTAAAGAATTTCTACCTAACATCTAAACTGAAAGAGGAGAGATATAGGTTAAAACCATTCCCCTTGTAAAAAGGAGACTGTGTAAAAGGTCTGTCTCCTTTTCGTTTCTAAGTTCCCGTCAAGTAAGTTGAGGTCCCCCCAGAGACCTCTTCTCCAAGCTGAACAAGGTTAGCTCCCTCAACCTTTCTTGTAGGAGAGGTGCTCCAGCCCTCTGATCATCTTAGTGGCCTCTTCTGGACCCACTCCAACAGCTTCACATCTGTCTTATGCTGTGGGCTCCAAGCTGGATGCAGCACTGTAGGTAGGGTCTCACGAAGGCAGTGTAGAAGAGAGGGACAATCATCTCCTGCTCCTGGCTGGCCACTCCTCTTTTGATGCAGCCCCAAATACAGTGGGCCTTCCAGGCTGCAAGTGCAGTGCTGGCTCATGTGAACAAAAGGTGGACCAGGACCACCATGTCCTTCTCCCAGTCTGCACACTTATCCGGGATTACCCTGACCCAAGTGCAACACCTTGCACTTGCCCTTGCTGAGCCTCATTAGATTCTTGTACCCATTTTTTAAGCCTGTCCAGGTCCATGCTTTGGATAGCATGCCTTCCTTCTATTGCATCAACTGCACTGCTTAGCTTGGTGTCACCAGCAAATTTCCAGTCACCAATCAATCTCGCTGTCTACACTGTTGATAAAAATGCTGAAGAGCACCAGTCCCAAGACAAACCCCTAGAGAACACCGCTAGTCACCAACCTCCATCTGAACACACAGCCGCTGACCACAACTCCCTAGCTACCACCATCCAAATAGTTCTTCATTCACCGAATAGGCTAATCTTCAAACCAATCTCTCACCAATTTAGACATAAGGATGCAGTGCATGACCATGTCAAATATTCCCCTAAACCATGCATCTTTTTGGCAATTCCCTGGCTACATTTTATTAAATGAGCTTGCTAATTGGGAATTTACTCCAGTGCCACTTGTACTTTGCAATCTCATTCTGCTTCTGTTATGCCTAGCTTTAGGATTACCCCAGCTCTTCTACAGTATCATTTCAATCATTTTTTATAACAAAAAAGTTGCACCATACCATTTATGAATTCCACCTTTATTTTGACATCACAAAAAACCCCCAAAGATCCTCACTGTATTACAGCAACAAATGTTCTGCGTGCTAATCCAACAGTATCCCTTTCAACACAGTTGTTGCTGTCTGCAGCTTACACAGGCCTTACCAAGATCTGTGGTTTTTTTTTTTTTTTGTGTGCTCAACTCTATCTTCTTGTACTAACAGTTTTTCACCAGGCTATTTGGAAAACCTGCATAGATAATTATTTTCTGCACAGATAATTATTCATTATTCTGAAGTATTGTATTATTCTGAAGTACTATGCACAGAGAAAATCATTTTATTAAATGCAAAGGTAAGAAAGAAAAATGATTGGCATGGCAGTGTGGAAAATGTAGTAGCTTTCTGTATATTTAAGTGTAAAAAAAAAAGTGTTTCATTAACATACTAAATGAAAACTATGATAAGACTGCAACCCTTTTACCACACAGGATTCCAAGTCACATTTGTCACATCCAATTTTGCACAAAATCACTAAGGCCAGAAAGAATCTTTAAGATCATCTAGTCTAATCATTGACCCATCACCACCATGCCTACTAACCCATGTCTCTCAGTACCACATCTACTCTTTGTTTGAAAATCTCCAGGGACAGTGACTCCACTATCTCCCTGGGCAGCCTGTTCCAATTCATTGCCACTGTTTCAGAGAAGAATTTTTTCCTAATACCCAACATCTGCATACTTAGAGTTATCCTACTCTCAAAGCAATAAAAAAGGCATTTCAGAACAGAAAATGGTCTTGATATCATCCCAATCACCTGTTTTAATCTTCAACCTTATTACACAAAATCCCAAAGCACCATGTTGATGCACACATATTAGATGCTTCCTGTTCCTCTTTTTCAAAAAGCCCCCAACGTTTCACTTATGAGACCTCCATCATCCTACTATACTGCAATAAATCTTGTTTCTCTATTTAGTCCAAATGCTTCTCCACATCTCAATAATCACTCACTAATCAAAATGAATCTCCATTATAAAAAACTACAGTTGTAATGAGGCACACTTTAATTTCATGCTTGCATTTACTCCCTTATACATGAAGCTCTCTGTCTTCCACAGAAGATCACAAGAAGGTACATAATCTGTCTGCAAATTTATCAGTCTGTACCGTGTTAAAGTCCTGAGCTTTCTGAGTAACTTTTTTCTAACAGAATTCAGTGAAATTCTGCTGGCCAACAAGCATTCGAAGAGTACTCTTAAGCCAGTAATTCTATGAATAAAATGTAAATTAATATTAGTATTCCTGCAAAGTTCTTAGGATACCCATAAGACAACAGATTCTAAAAGATTTTTAGCATATTTGTTTTGAGGAAGTATCATAAAATCTAATGTGCGTGGTTTTTTTCTGCTTAGATACTTAAACTCAGTTTAATGCATGCACTCTTTCCTCAGGAGTACTGCAGCTAGTACCAATCCCTCTGGAAGACTGACTTAATAAACAGGGTAAGCAAAATCAAAGTATTGCCTGTATAACAGGCTAGTCATCTGTATAATTACTAATATGAAGACTCCTTCCACATGGACTGTCAAAAATTGCTCAAAAAAAAAGTGCTTGTGCCCCGAGAGGTAGTAGGAAGTTACAGAGCTGCAGATTTCAGCTTCTATTCCTTTTTTAATGCATTTTAGTGGTTAGCTGTGAATATTAACAGCAAAAACTATAATCCTGGTTGACTAACCAGGAAAAGTAAGAAGAAAATAAGTGGTACAAAAGAACCTTCTGTGGTGGAAAGGACCTTTAACAATCATCTAGTCCAACTCTCTCATGACAAACAAAGACATATACAGCTAGATCAAGTTGCTCTGAGCCCCATTCAGCCTGACTGTGTATGCCTCCAGGTACACCACCTCTCTGACCAACCCACTATTGCCTCTCGCCACCCTTATAAAAAACATCTTGCTTATAACCAATCCAAGTCCCTTTTCATTTAGTTTGAAACCATCTCCCCTCCTCCTACCCCAGGCTCTGCTAAGGAATCTGTCCCCTTCCTTCTTATAGCCTCCCTATAAGAAGTATCTAAAGAGACACTGAAAAGCTGCTATTGGTTCTCACTGGAGCCTTCTCCAGGCTAAACAGACTCTGTTCCCTCAGCCTGCCCTCCCAGGGGAGGTGTTCCGTCCCCTAGATCATTTTTTGTGGTCTTCCTCTGAATGCACAACATGTCCAAGCACCTCCTTTACTAAGGACTCAATAACTGGATGTGGTATTTGGGATGAGGTCTCACCAGGGCAGAGCAGAGGGGCAGGACTGCCTTCCTCAACCTGCTAACTATGCTTATTTTGATGCAGCACAGGATCCAGCTGGTTTTCTGAGCAGTAAGAGATCATGTTCAGCTGGATCATGCTGAGCTTGCCATCCATCAGTACTCCCAAGTTCTATTCAGCACAGCTGCACTCCATCTTTACACCCACCCCCAGCTCATACGGATAGCATGGGTTGCTGCAAACTAGGTGCAAGTCCTTGTATTTGGATTTATTGAACCTCATGAGATTCACCTGGGCCCATTGCCTCAATCTGTCTAGGTCTCTCTGGATGGTATCTGGTCCCTCAGGCATTTCAGTTGCACCTCACAGCATGGCATCATCCACAAATCTGCAGAGTGTGCACTTAACCCCACTGACAATGTCACTGATGAAGAAGATATTAAAGATTACTGGTCTCAGTACTGACCCCTGAGGATCATTACTTGTCACTGATCTCTATTGAGACATCAAGCCACTGACCACCGTTCTCTGGATACTATCTTGCAACCAGTTCCTCATCCACCAAACATTCACTCATAAAATCCATATCTTTCCAATGTGGGGAGAAGGGTGCTATGGGGTACCATGTCAAAGACACTATTGAAGGTGGACATGCCCGCGTTATCTCATATCAACTCCCTTTCTTCCATATGCCTTAGCATATCTTCCATGAATAATCTGCTCCAAGGTTTTCCCCAGCACCGGGGTGAGACTTATATATCAGTAGTTTGAAGGGTCATACTGACCCTTCTTAATTTGAGCACTGCCCTTTTTTCCAGTCACCTGTGACTACACCTAACTGACATTATTTCTCAAACACCGTCAGGAGTGGCTTGGTGATACATCAGGACTCTGCCACACCTACAATAAAATTTCATTTGCTTAATATGATTGAATGTGGGGATTAAAATACAAATTTTTATATTATATTATTGAAAATATGAAAAATAATGACTTTACTGTCTGTTGGTTCATTTCTTTCAAGTGCATCCACACGCCTTAAAGGTTCGATTTTTTACTGTGTTTAATTTTTCTACCTATTGGTATGAAAAATTACCTCCTCTTTCAGTGCATGTTTCTTCTGCTCCAAACAGATTTCTTTAGCACGCATCAACTGCAGAGTCTCCTTAGAAACTGCATACTGAAGCTTTTCCATACGTTCCACTGCTGCTGCCCATGCTGCCTTACCAAATTTTTTCTGATCTGCTCGCATTCGGTCATACACAGCTACAGAAGGGAAGAAAAAGGCAAACATTTTATCAGTCTTCTCTTTAGATCTCTATAATGATTCTACTGTAGGGACTGTGCACATGTTTGTATCCAAAAACATACAAAGTTCTCTTAGCAGAGAAGTCATTCTATAAAGTAATAACCTTCGTATTTGAGGTATAAGAATTCTTAGGATTCACATAAGTATGTAATTCCCTATTTGTTTACCATTTCATTATTATAAATCCAATTTTTATTATTCAGAGGAACTATTCTGAACACATATTACCTGAATGTCACAACCACAAATTCAGAACTTTTGACTTAACAAAAATACCAGTTATTTTTACCATGTGGTCTTGAAGTACATCCCGGGTTCCCCCTGCTTCTGAAAGCCTCTACCATAAGCTACTAAAATCATCAGTTTCCCTTCACAAATTCTACAGTGCAGTCATAAATTTAACACAAATCTGCAGAGTGAAATAGGAATTACAATTTAAAACGGAAGTTTGAAGTTGACTTCAAGTGCAAATCAGAAAGAATAATGAATTTAACAAACCTATTTTTGTTCAACAGTTTTTTCTTTTTAAACCCAAAATAAAGATTGCTTTATGGGATGATTATATAACAAGGTACAATCTTCCCTTAATGTACAGAGATGAACTAGAATCTCTTGAAGCTCTCAGAGGAGCAAGAGTCCCACATGCGACTCAGAATTTCTCATCCTGAGCCCTGGAAAAAAATCTAGGCTAACATATTTCAGATTTTCACCATTTTTAACATATGAAACAATCACATAATATTGATCACACTTAACTCAGCAGAGCAAAAGACATGGAAGTTGCACAACTAAAAAGAGTAGCATTCATTCCTTAGGTGCCAGAAAATACCAATCACTATTGTTAGAAAATAAATATCTATTTGTTCTCATGTATTTTTTCCTGCCATCTGTTATTACTTTGCTATGTATGACCTCCTTATGATCTACAGGAGGCCAAATAAAGCAAACAAAAAAACAACCTGCACACCTATGTTGTACATTTATCAAAAATCTCCAGGCATTTCATTTTCCAGTGTCCTTCCCCACAATCCTGACAGCTGTACATGAAAACATTACATGAAAAAAAAAAAAAAAAAAAAGGAACTGTAAATATGCATTATTAGCTAATGAGGTATTTTACTTGCCATGTTTGTCATATTAGAGCAGAAGCTAAGTACATTTAGAGTTTGCTCTAATTAATGTGTTTGCACTAGTTTAGTCACTTTTTCAGGTAAGATGAAGTTTCACGTTAACCCTAACTTGAGTTGTTTTACAGTGATTGCTTCTCTTTAAGTAGATCTATTCAGGGAGATGGCAGGAAACCTACCCATCAAAAAAGACTTTCTCCCAAGGAAGGGTACAGCTCATTCATGTATTTGCACAGTCACTATCACCAAGGCAAAGAAACAGAGAGGAATCTGCATTCAAGCAGGGGAAAGAGTGGGACAGAATTTTGTCAGCAGCAGTACACAGTCAAACAAAAATAGAGAAGATGAAACTGCACCCTTAGGTTTGTTTACACTAATTAACTGATTATTTTAGTTAAAAATCATACAAGAATAAGGGCACAGATGTCTGCGCAAGCCATATGTCCTTGCTTAACTCCACTGACTCATTTAGTAAAACTGTGTGAAAGATTTATCTATGAAGACTTTCAAACAGAGCTGCATTCAGAGCAATTAAAGCTGAGCTGTTGCTTAGTGTTCAAAGCTATAAAAAAATTTACTGGAAGGCAGTGAGGAAAGGAAAATGAAACTAAGTGAAAAGCAATGGACACTTATTATTGTGGTTTGCCATATCCAATGCACAAGACAGAATCCATCCGGGATTCCATGTTTCCTAAATCTTCTGCAAATGTAATTGCCACAAATAAAATCCCATGGTGAAGCTGGTTGTGAAACTTTATTTAAAAATTTATATTGTGACTGCTTCTGATGGCATTCTGTAAACACTTATTTGAGAAAGATTTCAACATATACAGAAAATAAAAACAAATAAGAATGACAACTGCATTTTACTCAGGATTGATAAAAAAGGAAATCACATGGTACTATACGAACACAGTAAACATTAACCTTTAAAAATCCTTTATTTCAAGAATGGGATAACAGAAAATAACTACCTTTCTGTGCTTTAGCTGTTATTTCAAAGTATTTAACTGTAAGATCTTGAATAGAAAGTACAGCCATGTGGGCTTTCCTCTGCCAATCAGCATCTTCTTTCTGCAGACTCTCAATTCTTCTGGGACCTAGGTAGTCATTCTCTATTGAGATCTGAAAATAAATCAGACCGTAGTTAATAATACTGCTTGCTTCTGAACAGTGATCAGATACAGCATGGCTAAGAACAAAAGAAAGAAAACAAAATAACAAAAAGGAGAGAAAACTACTAACAAATCATCATGGCTTTTATTCAACAGGAAAAAAAAGGTGCTCCTTTCTGTTGAAAAAGTACAATTCATGGCTTCATTATTACTCTTACTGGAAGCACAAACAAACTCAAATATAAATCTGATTTACCAGTAACTTGTCATTAAATACCATATCCTCAAACAACAAGCATGCTTTATCCAGGCTTTCTTCCAGCCTGGAATATTCCAGTGTGAAACAAGTGAATGCTCTTAGGTAATAATAAAGATGGAAAAAAGGGGATGTTGTGGGATGCTGAGAAATAATCACCCGTTTTAGGAATTCTTCTTTGTTTTAACGATGACTTTAAAAGTATTTCCCCAGTGACTGGGAATTTAAATACTTTTTCCATTCCTAAAATGGAAGCAATTTTAATTCTAACTAATAACTATCTGAAGCCAGCAAGAGAACTGGGATTTCTTTTAAAATTAAAAAAAAAGATAGATATATATATATGTAGCTGTCTCTCCCTAACTATTTTTTGTACACACTTCTTAAAAGGTTGAGGTTGGTTAAGCAGTCCAACTGCAAAAAAAAAAACAAAAACAGATTTTTAAGTCAGTAGACACATATTCTGGAACCTGCAATTTCAAAGCTTTAATTCTGAATATTTTTCATTTATATTGGCCAAAAAGACACCTCATTACCTCAGACAAAAATCCCCAAACTGTGCAACTAGATATTTAACCTGAAGTTCTAATGTCTCAAATGTCAAAATGTCTCATTTCAGTTTCACAGAGCTTCAGTCAAAAAGCCATTCCACTTTGTAGTTTTACTACAAATAGTAGGCTGTTCAGTGATTATTCAGGATCTACCTCTGCATATCCACTTATCTCATTTCTTACAGGGATGATCTTTTGAAGCAAATATATATAGATAACTTCTATCCTCAAAAAATATTTGTAGTAGTTTTATATGATATTTTAATCTAATATATATATATATATATATGTATATATTTCGTATATATTTCATACATATTTCTAAAAACCCTAAAAAGGCAACAGGCAAAATAAAAATGTGAACAAAGTATAAGTGAATATTAATTTTTTCTTGTAACATGTAATCAAATGAAGCATATATATATATATATATATATATATATATCACGATTTCCATAGATAATGATTATGAGTCGACAGACAAGAATTTCAAAACAAAAGTAAAAACATAGGTATAAATCAGAGAATCATGATAAAAGTAATACAGAAGTCTTCCCTTTAATAGTCTTGGATAGAAATTACATAATTTGATGTTGAAATTGAAATGGGATCACCAAGTAATGTGAGTAACATTATTGCTAGACATCACTTCTAGAAGAATAAGAAACCTCAATATAGCATCTCTTAATATTTCTTCATCCAATTTTGCCTGCCAAAACATTATTCGCACACAGCACAGGCTAGAAATTTAGCATTTTTTAATACTATTGTATCCTTGTTCCAGAGATCAAGTATTTACAAATAACAAAAAAGGGAAGTACCTTTTCATTAACTGCAATCCCAATTACATCATCTATACTATCATTCACACTACAGTTATTCATTTGACAAAGTACAGAAAACCTAAGCAGCCTTTGCCTTAACAGCGTTTGAGAAAGTACTGATGACCACAGAGATACCTGCAACTGGAGACCAGAGTACACTGCTTGTCCCAACCATCATTCATCACCTGTGCCAACCACAGGTATCTGAGGGTCACAGTAACAAATCTGGATGAGAAAGTGAAAGAATAAGAGACAACGGTCTTGAGTATCAAGACCTTCAAGTGAGATACTGAAGACTGAGGTTCCTGGGATGACTCCTGGAGCAAGAATCTACACAGATGTCCATACTGCATTGTCTCTCCTAGACACTAGCCACCAGCAGAATGCCTCGGAGACCACTCGAGGTCCAGTAGAGGTCAAATGGATCAAAGAAAATTCAGGGAAGTTGACTGTTCTTCTGTAATGCCAAGAGCTTGGCACTGAGCAGCCAAAGATACTCTCATGCCAATGCAAGGAAAGCAAGCAATTTGCATTACTTCCTCAGAGGACATCATTCCCTGAAAAGCATACTCAGTCAGAGGGACATAAACATATTCACAATACATTCTGCACCCGGTACCCTAAAAGATAGGCGATTGCTTCTCTGCTTCTTTCCTTCCCCCTCCCATCCCCCCCCCCCAATAGATCCTTCACTTTCTGAGTAATAGCAAACTTTAAGAGCCTGTTTTGGTTTCTGATGTCTAGCTCTCTGCCACTCTCCTTCACCCAGCAGGGCTGGGGTAGATTTGCCCAACACAGGTTTCCTTTCCAGTGCTTGCCTGACATGCACTCTGTGGGCTCTGGGAGCTTCTCCATTGGTCTGAACATGCTCCAACACTACCCAGAGGAAAAGCAATCTCTTCTCATCCAGACAGCATGTTCCATCTGATTCAATCTCTCCATCAAGGAATGCAACAAAGAAAAATGAGTTACTGAAAATAAAAGATACAAATGTAAAAGAAACTACTGTTAGCAACCTTTCCGAATTACAGTCATGGAACTAAAAAGTCCATGGAAAAAAAGACAAAATAACTAGTAGCTTAATTAAAGAGAGATGGCAGCTGCAATAAACAGAAAAGTAGGGGAAGAAAGAGAGGTTGCAACTATCCACAACACCCTCACAAAATTGAGTGGAAAGGGAAAAACACACAGCAACGTGAACAGGTCCATGTGTTTTCAAGATGCTATTTTCTATCATCTCATTAAAAACAAATCTCTTTTTATAAATATCTCTTCTTATATATTTACATATGTATAAATCTCTTTTTATTTATTTATTAAAAAATATCTGTGAAGGAAATAACTATCATTCTGAAATTAAAGGAAGATCTTCTGCGCTACTGCATTCCAATTCTGTCCACAACGCATGTGCAATATATTTAGGATTCATTTTTCTCACTGCACATCTCTACTATGCCAGCACCTTTTTGTTTTCATTATCCATTGAAGGACGAGAGAAGGGCCCCACAGTAAAAGATGAGAAAAAAGCTTCACAGGAACTGTGGATAGAGATAGCTAGAGGTAGTTTACAGAAGCAAATATGTAGAGGTCATTAGAAGAATGGGGGTTGCAGACACTGAGACTGAGACAACAAGGGAGATAGAGAACATAATGATAAGAGTTTGAGAACAGCCCGAGGACGTCCAGCAGGGAGGTGATAAGATGCCCTCAGGGCAGGCTAGAACTGGATCAAGGGCTGTCCCTCCTGCAGGGTCACAAGTTAACAGCCAGGAAGACTATGTTTCTTCATCCCATGACCACCAGGAGATCCCCACAACTCGCTATGCACGCGCGAGGGGAAGGGTCTGCATGCTGAGAGCTTCTCAGAAATCTAATGAATATGTGTCCAAATTCCTAGAAACAATTGATTATATATTAGTTTGGCCTATATCCATAGCATGCTTTTTCCTCACAGTGTGTAAGTTAGGCAGAGCTATCCCCCTTGCACCTAGTGTATGCACACCGCTGGAATAAACACACCTGCTCTATATCCTTAATCTGGCTATAGAGTTTGATTTCTGCACGTCACCATAGAAGAGCATAGGTCATTTTACCAATTAACAGAAACAGAGAACACAGTGCACTAGGAGCAGACCTGGGAGTGCTGGTGCCAGCAGCTCAGCATGAAACAGCAGTGTGCCCTGGGGACACATCCCAGGATGCTGTCTGCCCTCATGGCTGCTTTAACACAGGCACTGAAACAGCTTTCCTAGAGAGACAGCTGATGTCTAACACCTGTCAGTATTCAAAAGGCATTGGGCAAAGCCCTCATTCATACACTTTTAACTTTTGGTTATCCCTGAACTGGAACAGCAGTTGGACAAAATGATCTATGTCCCTTCAAAATGAATTATTCTATTGTTTTGTAATGCTAAAGTAATGGAGTTGGAGAAGCCCTTAACATCAACATGTCTGATCACAGAAGTAACTACCAAGTCCGCCACTAAAATTGTGTCCCAGTGTGCCACATCTGTACGTTTCTTAATTGCCACCAGGGATGGTGACTACACCACTTCCTCCCCATGCAGACTGCTTCAATGCCTAAGCATATTTTCCACAAAAAAATCCTTCTTGATAGGAAGGTTTGATAAACCTCTCCAGATGCAACCCGAACCATTTCATCACACCTTAAATCCTTCTAATAATCATTTCCTCAAAAAGCATTTCACACTTCTGCAATAACTGAGTTCATTTTGACAAGAATAATGATAAAAGTCTAAAGGTAAAATTGGCTAAGATAATTTTTTTTTCCTGAAGATGAATTTTCTTTTGAAGGCTTTCATATTTTGCAAGCTTTATTCAGATTATGTTTTGAAAAAAAAAAAGAAAAAAAATTAGTTATGACTTTCCTCAAGTGATTATGAGTGTTATGGTTTTTTGATTTTTGGCTATCTACATCGTAACATCATGTAATGCACTGCAAGTTAAGGAATTAATGCTCCAGTTCTGGACACCTGTCCGGAAGAGAAGAAGAACTACATACCCTCAAGGACTTTGTGTTCAGAGGGGAGATATAACCCCTGGCAAGGTCAGAAGACCTTCCCTTTTTTCGGCTCTCCCTCATCCCTGCTGCTCGACTGACTGTGCGTCTCACCTCAGCATTATGGTGAGGCCTGTCCTCCTTTCAGACACTCTCATTATATTTGATTTATTAACACTATAATACAATATAATTAGAATTGAAGTTATCTTGCATTCTGATACCATATTTAGTAAATTAGTTTGTTTCTCCTCAGATCATTGCTGCTGTTTTTAATTATGCAGAGTTTCCTGTTTTCCCCTTTCCAGAGGCGTGGCTCTGTGCATCCCTCTGCCCCGCCAGTCATGGAATCAGGCTGAA